TGTCAGTAACCAAATGTAAGGAACCCTGGAGTGATCTATGAAGAATATTGTATTAAAAGCAGTCTGCAGTGCAGTTGGTTCTAGTCCTTTCTGTTTGTAGTCAGCCCTGTAGTGTTTATAAGAGTTAGAGCTCAGTGTAAGAGACTTCTCTAACTCCCTTATTTTCTCCTGTTAGTTTATTAGAGAAAGGTTGCAATACTTCCAAATGGTCACCAGTGCATTGAGATTGGCTATTCTCATTCATCATTAGTCTCTAATATTTTTGTGGCATGATCTAAGGCAGTGTTATCCTTGAGCTACACAACGTGTCTCCCTACTTGCTTAAGATTCTTTTGGCATTTGTCTGCTTAGGCAAACAGCTCAAGCTCTCCTTGTTCTTCAGTGTCTTGTCAGTTATTGTAACAACTTTTCTCTATCTGCTCAGGTTTGAGTTCAGCTGGCTTGTGCATAGCAGACTTAAGGCTGTACAAGGCTTTTGGTGAGATCTCTCTAGATTCGTGCATTAATGTAGTTCATTTTCCTGTCTCAGATTAAAATATACTTGGCCTAGTAGGGTCTTGGATCACATTGTCATTGTACATGACCTCCATCATAGTAGTGGCTCAGTCTCTCTCATAATTGATTAACCACGTAGGTTTCCATCTGTAGTCACGTCCAGCTTAGTAATCTCCACTTAGGAATGTTTGCTTGTCCCCCAAAATGTAGAGCACTGCCCTCCTGGGGGGAAAAGTCTGTAAGGTTTCATTTCTTTCTTTAATCTTTATAACCTTGTTAACAGAGACAATGTCAGTGTAGCCCGGTCTTCCCTTACAGTGAAAGAGCAAACCATCTCTTTAAACCTTTAGGATTTGGGCCATGTATTTCTGTTAATATTATTACTGTGCAGTACCTCCTTTTGGCCGTATGCCTAGCTCTAACATTGTGAAGTTTCCTTTGTATAATCTTGAACTGTGTTCAGTCTGTTCCACAAAACTGGTGTGGCATGCGCAACTCTTGCCCCCACCACACAGACAGTCTGATGCCTGGCAAATCCGCATAGATTCAGAACACAAAGTCATCTTTAGTTCATCATTAGAAAAAGTCTAATGCTTCTCTCGCCTTCATTCACCTTCAGTGTCTTGTTTTCAACACTACACATCTCACGGTGTAAAGAATCTGTCCATTGTAGTAGTAAAGTCCTGTCAGAGTCCTGGAGGTGAAAGAGCACCCAAAGTGTGGCTAGCACTTTTTCACAGTTCTATTTGCGCTTCTGTCTGGACTCTGGAGACATCAGCAAAATCTTTCCACACGCTATTCAGAACTAAAATGGCAACTAAGTCTGCTGTGATAACACAGGACTCCAAAATATGGTGGTCCCTGGGCCATGCCCATCCAACCTAGAGGCTCATAGCTGGCTCCAGTTGTCACTGTGTGACGAGGTGTTCAGAGCCATGTCTTCCTGCACTAACATACAGCTATGGGGAAATTTTTCTTCACATTGCAGAATACATTCCCTGCAGAACTCAGAAAGCATCTTTAGCCTTCATTAGGTTGTGAGTAATGAGCTACAAATTATAGCCCAGAGAAGTAGAGCCACGATAAGCTACTGGGGTAGTTTTTAAAGACTCACCGTGGACGTGATGAACTGAAGTCTTCCTTTCATTAGTTCTCACCTGGTCTGTGCCCTGTAGAACTTCTTGGATTAGCATCTGCTGCCCCAGATTTTGTAGGGAAGTAAGGACAGCTGAAAGCAATGCATAGCTAATGCTAACAAACATTTTGTTGCTTTCAGCTGCATGCACATCACTGCCATTCCCAGCTCCTGAACGTCTTAGCTTATCTGATTTCCTCTCTCACTTCCAGTTTCTTATCTGTTAGTTCTGGACACTGCTTTGTTCTAAGAGGAGAGATGTATTTGCAGTAGCCTGTGCAGCAAGAGTTCCCTTTTTTCCTTGTAATTGGCTTCTTATTGCTGTTCACATTTCTTTCCTGTTCGATTACATGCTCAGTTCCAGAAATAATTCCCCTCAAACCATTCTTTCTCTTCCAGACTGGAACACACCAGGCTTTGTAATATGTGAATACAATTTTCAAGAATGTCGTCAAAAACATACCCCGTAGAATATATTAAAATCAATCCATTGTTCCTTGTGCATTAACGCTGTATGGAAATGTGGCAGTTTTCGTTGGTTCTGACTCCAAATAGTGTATCCAGTATCTTTCCATGGTCTCCGACATATTTTCCTGAGGTCTTTTTAAAAACATCTCAAAATTGTATGTGCTTGTTTAGAGACATTGGTCTGTGACGGAAAGTGGATAAGTGTCCCCAGATCGGTCTGCTGAAAGATGACATAGATCTGTACACATCATCCATTAGTTATGTTGACTGGAAAACAACAACAACAAATAACTGTATGTACTTGGCTATGCTATGGATATGGTGAGAGCAAGTCTTACTCCATTTTGGAACTCTGATAGGCTAGATACGTCTCTGATAGTAGGTATTTTTCTTTTAATGTTCTTAAGTGTTAATCTCCTGTGAAGAGGTAGTTATTTTTAAGGGTTTGAGCAGTTCTTACCAGATGGACTGATCTCTGATGCTTCATACTGCTAAAGACATTGGGTTGAGGACAGCTTTGAATAGGGGAGAATAGCTGCTCTGTAGCATCAGGCAAGACCAGTCTCCTGTGGTTAAGCCAATGCTCATGGATATCACAAGGTATCTTTTTTTTTTTTTGTTCTTTTAAGTGATTGCAGTAATAAAACCCTGAGGAAAGAGTATCCTCTGTCATCTGAAAAATGTTTTTTGTGGCTCAGCTCTGAGACTCTTAACTGCAAAGCAGAGTGCTGCTTTAGAGCATGGAAAGCTGCTGAGTACGGCAGCATAGATATTCCTCAGAGCCTAATTTCCTTGTTCATTGATACATTGGACGAACTTGTTTTAAAAGTCTGGGGCTGCAGGCAGATGACTTTTTTTTTTTTTTTCTTCCCAGGCTAGAATATACTTAGAATTCCAAATAGTTCAGGCTAAATCAGTTGTTTTTTTCAGCTGCTCTCTAGTGATACCACCTTCGTTCTCCTGAGGAAGTTGTACTGCTGGGATACATTGCTTCCTGCTGTCTTCAGAAGGCTTGAAATACATCTGGTTCCAAACAGGGACGTAGTCATGTGTAGGTGTCACTGCTGCTCATTTCCATTCTGTTGTGGTTATTGGGACTTACTGCTCTTGAGAGAGGACTTTGCAGTGCAGAGGTGCACTGACACAGGTGTAAAAGCTTGCGGGCAATAAGGAACTCCCCCACCCTGCACCCAGCTGATTCTTCCTGTGTCTGCTGAAAACTCCAACCTGTAAGCTTGGAGTTTGATGTTTCCAAGCAAGAGAGATTTTCTTTTTTTTTTTTTTTTTTTAAGTGAAGGAGCACTTTCCTCAGTATTCACACCCTCCCAAGGCAGGCATTGTTTCAACTTGCTTTCTCAAGCATAGATGTTAGAGAAGGGAAGAGCCCCATGTGAATGAGAAGGAATGAATGTATCAAAACTGGTCTCACATTGCTTTCTCAAGCAGTGCTAATGTGCATATGACTATAGTCCCTAGATTTTAAAAAGGAAGGAAAAAGAGCGAAGTCATATTTTTGTGGCGGTAACTGAACAGATGACTAGAGAAGTCAGATTTCAAGATGGGGAACATAAAATCCACTGTAGCTATGAGGAGGCTGGCTCTCCTCAACAGACTGGGAGAAAATGTATTTCCATATATAGATTCATCAGTATCTCAATGATCATTTGCTTTGGAAGAATGGTTTCTGGGATACAAGTGCTTGAATGTTAGGATTGTGTTCTGTTTTGGCTGTGCTAGTGTTAATTTTCTTCATGATGGCTCCTGTGGTGCTATGCTTTTTGGATTTGTGCTGAAAACAGTGTTGACAATACAGGGATGTTTTAGCAGTTGCTCAGCATTGCTTACACAGAGTCAAGGCCTTTTCTGCTTCTCGCCACCCCACCAGAGAGTAGGCTGGGGATACACAAGGAGTTGGGAGGGGACACAGCTGGGACAACTGACCCCAGCTGACCAAAGGGATATTCCATACCATATGATGTCATACTCCCCATATAAAGCGGGGGGAACATTTGGCACGATGGTGTTTGTCTTCCCAAATCACACATGATGGAGCCCTGCTTTCCTGGAGATGGCTGAACACCTGCCTGCCGATGGGAAGCAGGGAATGAATTCCTCGTTTTGCGTTGCATGTGCACACAGCTTTTGCTTTACCTATTGAGCCATCTTTATCTCAGCCAAGGAGTTTTCTCACTTTTACTCTTCTGAGTCTCTCCCCCCCCCCGGGGGGGGGGGGGGGAGGAGGGAAGTGAGCGATCAGCTGTGTGGGGCGGAGCTGCCTACTGGGGTTAAATTGTGACATTTAGTAACGACCATACTGGAGTTCATTAAAATGCTGCAGTGTTAGTAGCAGTACTCAGGGAAAGGATCCAGGATAAACTTCTTGGATGACTTGCTTTAGAGTCAGAGATCTGCAAAGGGCAGTTAACTTTGTCTTATTACACTGCTTATTTCTCCCTACTTTATTCAGTTGTCGTCTGAGGACTGTAATGGTGGATTTTGTCTTGCTAGCTGTATGATACCCTGGCAAGGGAACCTTATGAGGTGAAAATACACAGTCAATTGTTGATGTCTGTCATTCTGGGAACAGTAGTCTTAACCCATAACTTGCAAAATGGGTTATGCTTACTTGATGGGGACATTGCTGGCAGCTCATCACAGGTTTTTTCATGTCACTGAATGATGCGTAAGCATAGAAGAACTAAAATTTGGGCTTCATAAGCAAAGCTTTCTGTGCAGGTGTCTCTTCGGGCTTTCATTTTGTCATAGGCTTTTCATAAGGTCACAGATTCTGCAAGAGATTGAGCACATGTAAAGAGTAAGTGATCAAGTATAAACTAGTAAGAGCTCAAAAAAAGCCTAACAAGACCTTCTCCCCCATAGTCATTTACATGACAATTGAAGCATGTCGCCAAGGTGTATGTGGAGATAAAGTTTGTCTATCAAGGACTGGTGGTTCAAGGATATTCCAGCTCAAAGGTGGTGTTTCCAGTTGTGAAGGAAAGTAATTTATTGAGGAGAGTTATGTGATGATAGTATGTTCTTCTGTTAGCTGCAGTAGGAGCCATTCTTCTTATAACAACATAAGTCCTTTTCTCTTGGCAGAAACTTTTTGTTAGGAATCTGCACCCGGCTGCCTGTATAGTGTTCATACACTGTATATTAAAATTGGAATTTAGATAACATGTTTTTCTCCAGATCTCTCTTTTCCCTCCTCCTTCTCTCCCACAATATCTGCTTGACCATGTAGAATTCATGGAACTGGGGATGTTGTTTTGCAATACATAACATAATACTAAGAAATTTTTTATATTTTTATATAATATGTAATTTCAAGTGATTGAAATATGCATGCATCCATATAAAGTTGATAGTGTTGTTGATGAGTAGATTGTTTGCATGTATTTCTTTTCTTTAGTCAAATGATGCTTGCATTTGAGTAACTAGTAGCAGATTGCCAGTGTTGTCAGATAGGTGCCCATAAGAGGAAGAGGCGTGTAAGAATACTGCTAATTCTGTAGAAATAATTGGGTTACCATGTGTTTCTGCTGCTGTCTACTTCTTGTTTTTCTATGTGATTAAATAGTTGTACCTTACTGATTTTAATGACTGATTCAATTGCAATGCCTCTGTGTCAGAAGAGACCTGCATTTTGAGCAGCGTTACAACAATTGTGTAGCAAGATACTTGTTTTAAAGAAACTTTAAAAAATTATGTGTGTTTAGTCTGTAAATGGACTGTATTAATTTATTGCTAAAATGTAGTCAAATAGAAGACTTGAAATGTAACCTGGTTGGTGAACTCTGGGGTTTTAAAGATGCATTTCTGACTCAAGTTTAGGACTTCAATATATTATTTTCAGCTTTACCTGTAAGAGGTAGGGACTTCTGAAGACAGACTTGCATGGAATATGAGGGAAACAATCTTATATCAATTAGTTTTTGTTTCTATAAGGTCTTAAAATACCTTTAAAACACTGCATTTCTTTCAGCTTAAAGTAGTTTTTTTTTTTTATCCCACAGTGTTCATAGAGAAAGTACTGAAAAGGCTCTATCCTGAAACTTCATCATCTTCTCTTGCGCATGCTTCGAGTGGAGAAGAGGAGGCGGTTCACAGAAATCTGGGCTCAAAATCCAAAGAAAAGAATTTGGATAATGTTCAGACTTCATCAGCAGATGCTAGCACATCAACTGATACAACCTGTGAATCATTTCAAGGTGAGACTGTGTAGTCTTTTTTTCTGATAATATGCATATTAAATATGGTTATTTTACTTGAGAACTTTCATCTAGTGATAGCTGCTTTTTTTCATCTATTGATATCAGCAGACAAGTTTGAATACAAGCACTAGTGGTACTTAATCCCTGTAACACTTGAGGTTAGGGCATAAGTCCTGTGAAAGCCAAGAAATAGTCTTGGTGTATGTGTGTGAATGCAGCATTTAACAGTAGCTAGTATGAAACGTCAGTGTAAGCTATAACTGTCTTTGGTGTAATGTCTGTTAAACAGTGAGAAAATAACTTGTCCCAGTGCAACTCTGCTCAGCTATTAGAGATAGACCCAAATATCAGTGGAAATGTGTGATCCAGCACTTCCTCCTGCCCTCGTGTTACAACAGAAACCCCATGGGGAACATAAACCGAACAGAAGTCAAATACCAATCCAAGCACTATGTTAGTACCCTGCTAAAGAGCATTATTATGTATGTGTTTATGCAATGAAAGTGTCATGTGAATGTTTTGACAGACAAGTAAAAACTTTTTCAAATGGGTTGTAGAATGTGGATGCTATGCCAAAGGACGAAGGAGTTGCAGAATGAGGTAGCTGTGGTATTACTTGTAGGTGAAAGGCTCTCTGCATAAGTATAGAAGTGTGAGTTGCTTTGTGTTGTAACTTGTCTAAAACCAGGTTTTGCCATAAATAAGAGAGGTTGTTGAACTGACTTGAATCAAAGACATGTTTCCCAGGAGTATAAGGTGCTCAGCTAGACCTGTTACTCACAAATGAGGAAGAACTGATTGTGGATGTGCTCTGGGGCAGGAGACCAAAATCCTGAAAGAAGTGAGCGAAACTAGTAATAGGATTAGAACCCTGTACTACAGAAGAATGGATGTTTGTCTTTTTGGGGGGCCTGCTTCATAGGATTGAATGGAAGACTGATCTGAATTACAAAGGAGCTCTGGAGAGCTGGTTGATCTTCAAGAATAACCTTCTCAAAGTACAAGAATGGTTCATTTTGACATGCAGAAAACTGAGCAAGCGTGGCAGTGTGCCTGACTGAGCTCAGATGTGTCGGGGAGCAGCAAGGCGAAGGGGAGTGAAGGCTAGCTGGCACAAGGCAAGCACAGGATCTGTGCCATCGCTGTGGAAGCAGTCCCAGAGTGCCTGAAAAAGGAGAGGAGAGCATGTCTGGTAACAGTAACCAGGTTCAGCCAACAGTCTGGTGACACCAGGCAAGTCAGTAGTGATCAAGCAGGTCTGAGGTCAGGCCAGTATGTAAACTCTGTGAGTCAGGGTGTGCATCACTTAGGGTGTGTGCTCAGGCACGGGCATTGCTGCAGTCTGGCTCAGGCTGGGAGCTGCTTTTAAGCTGAGGCTTGTAAGCAGCTCCGAGTGATGCAGGGGGAGCCCCTACTGAAGTGGCTTCTTCCAGGTTTTTCATAGGCAGCTCTTTCTTCACAACAATCTGAATCAACAGCTGTGTGATATCACAGAGCTACCTGTAAGTGTGGGCAGCTGAGATCCTAAGAGGGATGGGGTTTTTTTAACCTCACACCCCCACCCCCCAATCTGTTAACAAGGAGGATGGGTAACAGGTTGGCTACAGGACTTTCTTGTGTGTGTCTGTGGTAGAATTTGGTTTTGAAGGATTGTGTGGCTGTTGTCCTATACTGCATCCCCATTGCCTGGAAATCTCAACTTATTGCAGTTCCATTTGTTCGATACCCATTTTACTTTTCTAGATTAGTACTGCTAGTACTTCTTTTGTGTAGTCAGTAATGAGAGGCACATCTTCAAAAGCCGATAAAGTATTAAGCTTATTCTATAAAATGGTATTTGGTGGCATTGGGAAATAGTTGTCCTTTCGAAATATGTAACAAGCTATTTATTGGCTCTATGATGAAAACATGCTAAATAAGTGACTATGACTATGGAGTAATTTCTTAAGCTAAAAATGCCTTCATTTGTAGTGAATTTATACTATTCCTTATAAATAAAGGTCTACCCTAATTGTGAAACAATTAGGGTCTACCCTGTTGTGAAACCAACAGATAACCATTCTTCTCTGGTAGTGATTTCATTCACGTGTAAGGAGCTCTTCACAGAATCACAGAATGTTAGGGGTTGGAAGGGACCTCTGTGGGTCATCTAGTCCAACCCCCCTGCCAAAGCAGGGTCACCTACAGCAGGCTGCACAGGACCTTGTCCAGGCGGGTCTTGAATATCTCCAGAGGAGACTCCACAACCTCCCTGGGTAGCCTGTTCCAGTGCTCCGTCACCCTCAGAGGGAAGAAGTTCTTCCTGATGTTCAGCTGGAACTTCCTATGCTTCAATTTGTGCCTGTTGCCCCTTGTCCTGTTGCTGGGCTCCACTGAAAAGAGTTTGGCCCTATCCTCCTGACACCCACCCTTAAGATATTTATAAGCATTTATAAGGTCTCTTGCATAAGCAGTCACTTACATGTTGTGATTTTATGGTATTAGACTCTGAAAGTACATGTTTAGTGATAGGCTGTAAGATTTGAAGCTATAAACTGTGTGTCCTTGCAAAAAGGAAAACAAAGGCATTGACTGAATTTTTTGATCATATACTATTTTAAGTAACTTCTTTATTGGACACCAAAGGCTATGAGCTGTTGTGGTTTAGCCTGGCTGAATGCCAGGTGCTCACCAGAGCTGCTCTATTGTTCCGCCTCCTCAACTGGACAAGGGAGAGAAATATGATGAAAAGCCTGTGGGTTAAGATAAGGACAGGGAGAGATCACTCACCGATTACCATTATGGGCAAAACAGACTTGATGAAATTAATTTAATTTATCACCAATCAAATCAGAGTAGGATAATGAGGAATAAAACCAAATCTTAAAACACCTTTCCCCCACCCCTCCCCTCTTCCTGGGCTCAGCTTCACTCCCGTTTCTCTCCCTCCTCATCCCGAGCAGCGCAGGGGGACGGGGAATGGGGGTTGCGGTCAGTTCATCACGCATTGTCTCTGCTGCTCCTTCCTCTTCAGGGGGAGGACTCCTCACACTCTGCCCCTCCTCCAGCATTGGGTCCCTCTCACAGGAGACAGTCCTCCACAAACTTCTCCAACATGAGTCCTTCCCATGGGCTGCAGCTCTTCACAAACTGCCCCAGCATGGGTCCCTTCCACAGGGTGCAGTCCTTCAGGAAAAGGTTGCTCCAGCATGGGTCCCCCACGGGGTCACAAGCCCTGCCAGCAAACCTGCTCCAGCGTGGGCTCCCCTCTCCACAGGTCCTGGCAGCAGCATGCTCTAGTGCGGGCTCTCCACGGGGTCACAGCCTCCTTTGGGTGCATCCATCTACTCCAATGTGGGGTCCTCCACGGGCTGCAGGTGGATATCTGCTCCACTGTGGAGCTCGATGGGCTGCAGGGGGGCAGCCTGCCTCACCAAGGTCTTCATCACAGGCTGCAGGGGAAAAATCTCCAGCGCCTGGAGAACCTCCTCCCCCTCCTTCTCCACTAACCTTGGTGTCTGCAGAGTTGTTTCTACCACATATTCTCACTCCTCTCTCAGCTGCAAATGCAGTTAAGCAGGGTGTTTTTTTCCTTTTTAAATATGTTATCCCAGAGGCGCTACCACAATCACTGATGGGCTTGGCCTTGGCCAACGGCAGGTCCGTCTTGGAGCCGGCTGGCACTAGCTCTGTTGGACTTGGGGGAAGCTTCTGGCAGCTTTTCACAGAAGCCACCCCTGTAGCCCCTCCACTACCAAAACCTTGCCACACAAACCCAGTACAGATCATAACTACGAAACAGCTGGTCATTAAAGTAATGGAAAATAAGAGGAGGTTTTTTTGTGTTGATATGAACTCCTTCCTAGTTTAAAAGTGATTATTTCAGTCTTGCAAAGTCTACTGAAAAATTTAATTTAGTCTCAATAAGAAATTGAGGATTTCTTTGAAAAGTAACTTAGTCTTAAGTATTTTTGAGCATTAAATAACAGCTTTTACTATAAAACTCATCACAATGTTCTACTTGACTTTAGCAATTATTTTCAAATTGTGAAAATACCACTGCCAATATGCACGAGCTAATCCCCCCATGATTCTTATATTTATTGGAATGCAGTTTGCAGCATTGCCTTAAATGCCTGCATCTTGAATCATAATAGGGACTTATGCCCATAAAATGTGAAGATCATACTTTTATATCCAGTAAGTATTTGCATTTATATGCCTCTTTTTGAGATAAAGTTGAAGTTGAGATGCTTAAGTATATAGAAGATGAGGACCCATGTTAATGACTAGTTCTCATTTAATTTTGGAATATGAATAATTTAATACCAGAAGGGGTTGTCCCATAAAGCTCCCAACATAGTTCTGGAACTAAAGCTTACAATAAGACCCAGAATAACTGGAGATTGAAGGAAAATTCTGAGGGACACTCTCCTTTGACTATACAGTGATCTTCTGAATGGTATTTGCATTTTCTTTAGGAAGATGGTAGTTCTTTTAGGGATGGAGAAAACATGTGGAGATGCCACACTTCTTCTGAACCCCGAAGAAGGAAGGTAGTCTCTTATATCTCTTGAAAAGAGATTTTTTTTTTTTTTTAAATTGATTTAAAAACCCCCAACAAACCCAACCACCTGCCTGTGGCCAAAACTTCCATTCAAGAGCATACAAAGATGTACCTTCCATTTCTATTCTAGTTGTCCTTAATAATAATTTTTTTTCCCTATTCTACCAAAATACACAGAATGTAACTAAAATGGGGGTTCTCCCTCCCCAGGACAATTAGATAAGACTTTCTAAACATTTCTCCCCTTGAGCAGCCTGATTCTTCCATTGCAAGAGCTATAGTTGTTAATTTCAGAAGAGGTAAGAAAAGAGGGGTTTTTTTCCTGCTTCAGAATAAAATTAAAGAGGGTCTAAACAACCAGCTTTATTACCTTAAACCATTTAAAAGTTACGCGTACATGTAATAAACCTGAGCCTTCTTGGCAGGCAAAGTATTAAAGAGAGCAAATGGA